CATGTATCAGGGTTATGTAAACTAACTACTACCCTGATTACCACCGTGCCCACTAACTAACTAAACCTGATACCACCATGTAAACTACTATAGCCCCGACACCCTCATGTATCAGGTACACTATAACCCTGAATACCACTGGCCACTGTAACAGTTAGCCTGATTACCCTGACAAGACTAACTTTAACCCTGATTACCGCAGCCATAGTAACGATCATTTTCCAACACAGTATGCTCTCACATGAATAAAAGTTAAAAGAAAAAAACATTCACATTTGAAAGTCGGAGGGAGGTCTTTAACCCAGTTTAAACTGGTTCTGCATCATATTCCATCAGTGGTTTATGAAAAATGAGAGCTGTGATAATGTTTAAATATAAACTTCTACACAAAACAGCTTCCTCTTTGAGGCTTAGCCACTATTTGTGTCATAGATGAATCTTCTTTCTTTAATCTAATACGGTTCAGGTAAACTGTCGAGAGGTTAGAAATATAAAATTATTTCTTTGGTAACAAAAACTGCAGTATTTTTGTTCAGATTTTTAAAATGTTTTCTGTGTTTATGGAAAATAGCACAGATATTCTTTTTAACCACGTGTGTTTTCAGAGGTTTTCTTTCTGACTGCACTGATTTGTTAAACCTCAGTGTTTAGCTCCACAGTTAACACACTGCATTAAACAAACAACAACAAAGCTGCACAGTTTATGGAAAACAGCCAGATCCTTTTTAAAGCACATATGTGTGAATAGTTTTCAAGTTTAAATCTTTTTTTATTATTCTGATTGTGTTAGCCGACTAAACCTTATCAATGTTTACCACGAATGTACTTTGTGCTCCTCAGATTTGTTTTGTAATTAAACAGTTTCAGTAAGTTCATCTTTTTTGAATTATGTGTTTTGTTAACACACAAAAAATCTGTAAAAATATTGTACAATATACCATTTTTTTAAAAAAAACGTAATTTCCTGTGAAAAATTCTTATTTTGCTGTATTTTTTAACCACACATTGAATAATCTAAAAATAGATAATATACTGGCAAAAAAATTACCAGTTCTCTTTCTGGTTTTTTTACCCAGTGATGCCGTTTGTGCTCTCTTTCTGGGATTTCTGGAGTTACTAGAGTGACGGTCTGTGCTGCCACTTTTCTTCTGGCCCGCTGTATAACCATCAGATATATTTAAAACAGCTCCGTGTGTTTTTCAGTCCCTCAAACATCTCAGCCGCTGGTTTTTACATTTATTTCCATCCTCGAAGCCAAATGGAAATTCATCTTCCAGTATGTCATATCTATTAAACCATTTTAATTGCCCCTCTGTACAGGGCTGGGGTATTTATCTTTACTTGTTTCTATGGTGCTGTCATAATTCACACGAAGCCAGATGAAATCCGTGCAGCAACATGAAGTGCAAACACGCTGTGGAGGATCTCAGGAAGAGGAGGAGGATTTATAAGCGCAGAGGTTGTGTCGAGTGAAGGGTCTGCTTCTTATCGTTCACCTCCGTCAAGGTCAGCGTGTCCACAGCGGCTCAACAAAGAGCAGACAGACAGCAGCGAAAAGTTTACCGTGCTATTTTTAACTCCTGCAATTTCCTGGTTTTGTGGCGGCAGCGATCTGTCATGTGGCTGGGAGGTTGTGCTGTTTGCGCTGATATCAATTAAAAGTGGATTAACGGGTACATAATGACCTTTAGCAGTAAATTGTGTGTAATGTTGCAAGGCAGGATACAGTATATTCCCCAGATGTCACACCAGGCCCCTGACGTATGATGGAGCAGATGTCTTAGCCAGTCCAAATGGCCCTCTAAGACACACACACACACACACACAGAGGCTCAGGCTGACATGCATGCATAAACATGTGTTCTCACACATTCCAAATGGCAAACAGACACACACACGCAGACATGTCGTCTGTCTCACTTGCTCCAGATATTTAAAAATGCTCAGCTTTAATGGAAAAACGGGCACAAAGCGAGCGCTCTCGCAGGGCATCGGCATTCATTCCGGTTTGCCTTCGTCCGTAAACATCAGAGGACGTGTCAAACACGCAACTGCCTCTGCTTTTCATTCTCATCTTAGATATGCACATGCCACATTCATCTTTATTTCCCCCCCACGTGAACATTAACAACCTCTTATAAGGAAAGGGAGAAAAAAATCAGATCAGTCTAATTTCTGTCTAATTTGGCTCCTAGAATATCATTTTGTCCAGTTAGAGGAATCGAGAATGATCATTTGCATCAGGGACGTTTCCTTATTAAATCAGCGCCGAGCCTCTGTTCGGCAGCTCACAGGAGAAGCACTTATTGGGTTAAAAGCTCATCTCGTATGGTTTATTTTAAATATACTCTATGCTTCACAGACACTCTGCTGTAAGAGAAAAGATATCAAATCGCTGTCTTTCTGCCTGTAGTCAGGGTTATCTGCAGCTCTGCATGCTCCCTTTCCCTCCTCTCTGCTCTCTTTAGTATTTCCACCTTCAATTTTCTTTTGTATAGCCTCCTATTCTTTTCTCTGCTGTATCAATATTCTATTGAGTTGCTGTTTGTGGCCCTTTATTTGAGAACTCTGCAGTAGGTCTGCAGATCGCAGAGTCTTTTTCTGGAATGGTGCCCTCTAAATAATGATAAATTACTTGAGCAGTATGCCATTTGCTAATTATATCCATGATTTACTACACAGCCCGACTTAAATCATTCAAAGCAGCCTTGCGTAACAATGCCTTTTTTTCCTTTATAAAATGGTTTCCATGTGTATAATCTAAACATTTTATTGGCATATACTGTATAGAGAACGTGCATGCAAAACATTTTTTATTTCTTTTCCAGCCGTGCGTGCACAAATACCACTGTGGGAACTTTTATATGTGTATATTGAAAAGGGGGAAAATCGAGCTTAGCGTTTTTGCCTCTCTGTTCATTGTTTAATGAATCCAAATCTGGCTCCGACTCCAAGCCTATTATAATTGCTCGCAGGATGTGTTCTATTTCAACATCTTTCCAATGGAAGATCCACTTCTGGCAGAACAGTGTTGGTGTTATAGCATTATCAGGAATATTCATGAATATGGATGCGCAGCATAAATAAACATATGTAAATGTTACACAGCAGATTCACCCCCCTTTTACTGTAGTGTAAATCGCTTTGATCTGTACTGAATCATATTGTTCTTCATCGCGAGGCTTCGCCACATCCAGCGTGTGCTTCACATATGTCGCCGGCTTCGTAGTTTTTGTGTGGCGGGGGGCCACGCGCTGAGCCACGCCTGATGTATGCTCCTCCTGACAAAGTGCAAAAAAAGGGCGATGTCCGAGAAGCAGCACCGTCATCGCCAACGGCCAGAGCGGAGGCACGATGACCCCGCCGCACGTGCACAGGAACTCACCGTGAGCCCGGCCGCAGGCCCGCGCAATCGCATCGAGACACTTCTGTTGTCAGCTGAAAATATTATGTCTTGTAGTGGACTGAAAGCACCATATGGTGAAATGTTTTTATGGTGTTGATATGAGTGATGGCTCACTTGGCGGAGCTGGATCGACCCATATTCAGATGCCTACTCCACACCCCCCACACCCCACCCCCGTCCCAACACACACACATCAAGTGGAGCCGAGCCGACGACTGGAAGAGAAAAGACATGCGAGTGTTGGTTGAATGCACAATCGTCTTCATTATCACTTTGTGTTTCATTCTGTGCTACTTTTTAAAATCTCCCTTTTTCAGGAATTAAATACTTCCTCTTCTTTATCGTTAATGAAATGCACGTCTTTTTTGTCACTTCATGTGACCTAATTTTCTTTGTTCAGGGAGGTTACATGACCCTCGGGCCCACATTCCCTGCTCCAATAAATAGATTTTGATATCCAGTCGATGTAATAAGCAGGTTAATTATTCACTGTTTTACTGTTTCTCTCGCTCTCTTTCTTTCCCGCCCTCTCAGGAGAGAAACCCTACCGCTGCCCTCATTGCGACTACGCCGGCACCCAGTCTGCCAGTCTCAAGTACCACCTGGAGCGCCACCACCGCGAACGGCAGAACGGCTCCACCACGTCGGGCTCCTCCTCTGGCCACACCCCTTCTTCTGACCACAAAGAGGATCATGGGAAGACGGGCGGAGGCATCTTTGCCCGACCGGACGTCCTCCGTAGTGTTTTCAAGAGCATGCCCCCCAACCTGGACTTCAGGGCAGGGCCGCTACTGCCGCATCAGTGGGCGTCGGCTCCCATCGTGTCCTCTCACAACCGGGATCGTGACTGTGGGGACCGCCGCTTTGACTCCGCCTCTTCAGCTGAGAACACGAAGACTGCCGATGGACCTTCCACCATAGTCTCTGCGGACGGCGCCGCCAGCTTCTCTGACCTAAGCCGGGCTTACCAAAGCATGATGGGAAACGGAGTCCACTTTCAGGGTTCTCTCCAGGCTTTCATGGACAACTTTGTCCTCGGCTCCATGAAGAAGGATGTGAAGGACAGCCAGAGTCCAGCCCAGCTCCAGGCCCAGCGCTACCATGACAACGGCGAGCCCAAAGCCAAGAGGGCCGTCTCCGGGGAGCAGGACAGAGAGGAGAAGACTGAACCCAAACAAAACTCGGAGCCGGGCAAACCCGGGTCCCAGTACGAGCCGCTCGATCTGTCCGTGTCGGTCCGACCCGAGTCTGCATCCGGGTCACTCCCCGGCACCTCCGTCACCATTCACGATAACGTGGCGTGGCACGGGTGCCTCTTCTGCTCCTTCTCCACCTCCTCATTGGAGCTCATGGCTCTGCACCTCCAGGCCAACCACCTGGGCAAAGCCCCTCTGCAGCACGCCGACGCAGGCAAGGACGCTCACCGAGAGGGTTCTCCGACCACCTCCGCCCTTCACTCCTCCAACACCAAGGCCTCGGGCGTGGCCCCGGAGAGAGATGGAGACAGAGATGGAGAAAAAGGCCCGGGAGGCTGGAATAACCACATGGAGCAGCCGTATAACCCGTTCCAGAGTGAATTCTACAGAAGGTTTGGTGGCTTGTACGATGGATCCCCAAGAGTCAGTCAGGGCCTTCAGGGGTATCTCGCCCAAGCAGACCACGGCCTGGACCTGCCCAGCCAGGTCTTCGGAGGGGCCTCTTCAGCCGGCCCCGACCAGGTGGGCGACAGGGGCTCCTGTGGAGATGCTGAAGATGACCAAGTCGGATCTGAAGACGAGGCTGGAAAAACCGGCGTGCGCAGCACCAACGAGACCCCGTCGACCACACCCAAGAGACGGCAGCAAAACCACTCTGACGAAGACGAGGAGGAGGGAGGAGTGGCTGAAGAAGAGGAGGAAAGAGACGAGGATGGGCAGATGGACGTGGACAGAGAGGAAGAAGGAAGTCCCAAACAGCTCCAAGATGACTCCTCTCTGCCCCCGAGGAGCGGAGCGGCCATGGCGACGCCGTCCTCCGCCATGACTCCACTTTCTCTGGTTCCTCCGCCCCAGAACCAGACTCTGCCGCTGGAGAAGCAGTGGCAGCAGGGCTTGGGCCTCCTAACCCCCGGAGGTCCTCCAGGACTGTTGAAGGCGGAGCAGCAGACCCACCTGGAGCAGCAGATGAACATGCTGTCTGTCCTGAGAGCCTACAGCAACGACAGCCTCCCTGCGTTCAACGGCCTGGGCGGCGGAGCGGGCGGGGCGCCCCCGGGGGGCATGAAGAGGTCGGACGCACCTGGTGAGTGTGTTTAACCCCTCCTGCTTCTGTAGCAGAATATTAAAAGACAGCCACACGAGCAGAAAGCGACCCAAAAAAGACAAATATGAGCACAAATCCAATTTCCCCACCAGTGCGTGCACGCCAACACTAAACACAGCAGACGAACACGTATACGTTTTTGCCCGACACCCACAAAGGAATCTCAGCACTCACTAAATGTCTCGAGATTGGCTCTGAAGTGATTTCAGCCTTATTTCAAGCAAGTTTAGAAGCTATCATGCCGGCGACTAGCAACAGATTAATCTTTATTACACGTTTATATTACTGGGAGTGCAGCGCCTCCCTCTCGCTCCCAGCATGGGGGGAATAACCCTGGATGAGTCAGAGCAGGACCTCAGCTCCCCGTGCCATCTCCTCCACATGTCTCTTAACTATCTTAGCTCTCATAAAGCCGGCTCCCAAAAGCCCATTACTTTATAAGACTCGTCGATCTATGACCCTGTGAAAAATGAACTGTCAACTTTCATGATTCTGCTAAGGTTATAGCCGCTCCTTGAGACTGAAGAAGGAAGTCTTTTTCTCTCGCTCGCTCTCCTTTCTTTACAATGCTCCTCTTCTGTTTAGGGCTGGTTGGCACTTCTGAGTGTCTCTATAGGAAGAAAATAAAAGCCAGTGTTGGTGTTGAGCTTTAAAAGCGGCTTATAGACACGACGGAGATGGATGACTTTGCTCCGCTGCTGTCGCTTTGACTCGGCGTGACCCTCGTAATATTATTAACAATCAGGAATATTTTTCTTTGTTTGGAGAACAAAGGAACGTTTTTCAATCAAACGCAGAGAGAAAATCATATAAAACATAAATAAAATAACAGCTGCTGGTGTTATCTGTGGCAGGACACGGCTCTGAGTATCTCGATGCAAGTGTATATGTTTCATTAAAAAGAGAAATGGCTTTGTGAGAGATTGCCCTACATATTGTTTAGTCCAAAATGTGGGCCGGCCCCTCTGCAGCGAGGAATGCTCGACCTTTATAGATAAGGCTTTCTCTGAGGAACAAAGGCCTTTCTTATATGTCCTCGTCTGAGACGGCCATTCATTGTAATTAAAAAAAAACAAGTTATTGTGTGTCCGACTTCCCGGCAGATCTCTGGGATGGCACCGAAGATAGCATAGAGAAGAGTGAAAGACTATAGGAAACATGAGTAACATGGAGACATGTTGTGGTGAATGTGAGCAAGTGAATTGTTGTTCAGTGTGACGTTACTCCAGGTGACTCTTCGCCTCCCGTCCCGGCTAAAGATGCTCTGACTGAAGCACGTGGAGCTGGATGGAGAGCTAAAATGATGTTCGGAGGGCGGGTGAAGCTACAGAGCCGTGCTTAGGCGAATGTGACCACGTGAAAAGTTCATGCTGAGAGTTTAACCCTTTAAAACCAGTCAGAGCAGCACGCTCCGTTTTGTGTAACTATTTTTAAATCCCGGTAGCTCTGCAACCACGTGAGCTAG